ATAGCTGGATAGTTGCACATCCAACAGCTTTTGGCATGATGAACATCCTCTATGCAGCGTTGTTAGAATAAAGACTCCCATCCAGGACTGGAGCTGCTGCAAAATGTGCACAAGTAAAAACCTTCTACTTACACAGCATTCTGTGCGTCACCAGCTGGAAAAGTATCCAGATAACATGTTTTTTTAGTGTGTTGTGTTTTTATAACAAGATTCCAGGAGTGAACACTATATTAAAAAATAAAAAATAAAACCTCCCCTCGGCTGTTTCTAATTGTTAGGTGAAGTTAAAGAGCAGCAGCATGGAAGAAAACACCTTTCACAGGCATTACCTAAGCGGATGGAGGTAACCCTGCTGCACCTGGCTGTGCGTCTATCCTTTTCATGGAACGCGCCAGGATAACAAGTTGCATTGAAAGGAAAATGAGAAAGTAAATGAAACAAATGGTGATGGAATCGTCTTAAGGATCCGTTCTTGAGACGCAGTTAAGCGGCTTTTCTTGGCCATTTCATTAAGTAAAATTCTGAGCCGGTCAGGCGGTGCGTCACCACAAATGGCACGTTTGGATAAGAGGGTTTGCAGCAGAGCATTGGGTAATAACTTCGCTTACGGCTTTCAAAGCAGCCGTGGTGGATGGTAAACGATAAAACGACGCTTTACGGTATGCAGAAAAGGGATAACACACCTAAATACATTTGCACAAAAAAAAAAACGTTTTTGCAACGTTTGAGTTTACATAAATCCAAGGTGCATGCTCTGCGATAGGCCTTGTTCATGCATTACATGCTCTTTATGGGTCTGTCTACAGTGTTCCTTATCATAGAATATGTTGGAGATAAATAATATCATTTGCTTCGTTGCTTATATCTGCTTCTTCTTCTTTTTTTATAACTTAATCTCCAAAATTGAGAGAGAAACAGTTCATTTTTTGTATTATTATCGATGAGTATGTAACCACATGCGCATGTCTTTTCTCATGTGACTATTAAATTCACTAATTTAGCTGAAACCTACTCTTTCCAAGACATTTAAAATACTTTTCAGAACATTTCTTTTTCCACTGGAATATACAGAAGAGCATTCAGAGGTTAGCATTACTTTAAAAAAAAAAAAAAAATTAAAAAGAAAACCATCAAATGAGTATAAATGTTAAGTGTTAAGGAGTATTGATCTATAAAACCGGCTTCCCAAACCGTTATCATAATGCTAAAACAAATAAACAAAACAGAAGCAACAACAACAGCAAATTACTATAAATGAAGAGTCATCATATGATCCCCGTTTGTTTTTTATTATTGACATGATTGAAGCTTTAACGGTCCATGCTCCAGAAGCTGAACTCTGCATCCACACTGATGCTGCTGAGAATCTGCGCGCAGCAGCCTTGGATGCAGCTCTCCTGATCACAATCCATGGGTTGTTTCTGGATGATGGTTCAAGTCTTCTAATGCGAGTTGGCGCTCCTGGGGCACTCGTGCATCCGATAGGCACACATATAGAATATTCCTGAAAAGAACAAAAGAATTTTTTTAGTCAATCTGAAAATTGCATCGTAAAAATGATTTTTTTTTCAGTGGGAATCAGGAGAAAAGACTGCGTCATTTCGTGAACTTTTTGAAACCTATGTTTTAAACTTATAAAATGTCTTTTGATTAGGTAGTTTTTCATTCATTAGAAATCACATTTAATTAGTGAACTGCTCTATCTATGTCATCCTGAGACCCTAAAATAGCATCAAATATAATGATCTATTTCTTTATTTGTGTGAGTTTAGAAGCAGCAGTTGTGCTCATAAAGACATCACCAACCTCACTGGTTAGGACACATATTTAACATATCTGCTGTTTATTTGGAATTCAGTTAATTATGCAAATTATGAGAAATACAACAGAAATGGATGTGCATAAAGGACATGTTTTTACTGTTCATTCATTGAACTTCTTTATAATGTTTCTAAAATGTTCAGTCTGATGAGCAGGTACTGGTGGAGCAATCAGAGATGAGGCCTCACTGAAAGCATCACTCACTGATGATGTCACATCATGGATTCAGCTGCCTAACTGTGAGTTAACCCAAGTCCAGTTGGACTATTCTCTGCTGAGGAAGTGTTGTGTTTTTGTAGCCCATGATGTGTAGCACATGTGGTATGAACACCATCAGCTGGCCATGCAGGCACTAGCTAGGACCTTGACGAGTTTATTCTACGCTGCATCATTTAATATAATATGAATCATACATATTAGAAGTATTTTGAGCACTATGCTGTTACATCACAACAAGCATTGATTTTATTTATGCTTCTATCAGTGCATTCGTTGCCTGTTGACAGAAAGAAAACCTAATTCAGTAGAGTTGTTAGGTGTTGCACGTTTACCTGAAAAGAAGGTAAGCACCACTGACACCCAGCCGATGATATACGACCAAGAGAACCTCCAGTTTCCATAGCGTTTCCCATAGTAGTTAATTGTCACCCCAGTGTACACAGCCATGGCTAGAAACACTAAAAAGCCTGAGCAGGAGGGGAAAAAAAGGAAAGAAAAACTGTAAAGAAAAGATTTATGAAAGATTGTACAAATAGCCAACAGCTACTGTTCATGCAAACTGATTTCAGTCGTTGTCAGTTTTTAGGTATTTCAGCTGTGACCATGGATTTCCTCTTAGTTACAGAGAAACACCAATTTATAATGTTTATACCGAATAAAGGCCACTATGCAAAACAAAGCATTTTAAACAGGAGCCTAATGAAGCCTTTCAGTCATGAATGAGGTCTTTCATCAACATAACAAGCAGCTGTACGTTGTTGTAAAATTGTGATGATAATGGAGTAATTAAAACATAATTTGTTCATGATTAGTACACTGTTAATATTATATTTCTTTCAAAAACCTGCCCTTAGTCTCACTGCTTAGTGGTTGCAGTCAGTTAAGGACAAATCCAAACGCCAATTACAACTCATACCAAACCACCAGAGAACAAAAACAATACTTACATGAGATGAAAAACAAAATGCCTGCAGCAAAGGTTTTGTCAAACCTGTCGAAGGATGAGTAATGGATGAAGGCCATAATGCCAATGATGATGCCAATGAAACAAGCCAGAAGAGAAAGGATCATGAAGGCACGGGTTGCATCTAAGTGGGCTGTGGACAAGGTCAGAGGTCAATAGGAGTCACTGGTGGGTTCAGGGCGAGTCAACCGAGGTGAATGACCTCAGGTATGACCCTGCTCCGGCCATGCTAACAAGCTAATATGATGAAGAATGTTGGAGAGTGAAAATGAATCCTGTCAGACCTTTGAGATAGACAGAAAGGACTGAATGCTGTACTAGAGGCAGATTTATTTCTGAATCAACAGAGAGTATACACTAAATCTAATTTACAGTGGAGTAAAATGAAAAATACAGCTCTCGTTTTATGGTATGGGATACGAGCATTTTATGTGTTTTTGTGTTTGGAGTAAACATAATAAAACATTATGAAGCTAATTAAAAACAAATGCAATCTTGTAATTTAACCCTCGCTGCTGCCCTCTCAGTCTAACTACTTATGATCGCAAGTTAGAGCAGCTATCCGTTCAAGTTCACAGTCGTCATATACAACTTGACTGACACATGTTAGCGACTTGGCAGTTATTAATAAAATCATTATGTGTCAGGAGCAGCTTACTAAAAAAATAAAAAATTTTTAAATGACATAAGGTCTTTATTGGCTCCACTTACCAAAGCTGTCATTGTGTGGGAAGCATTTCCCTGGTGTACAGTAGCGCCACAGGCCTTGGTGCATGTAGTTGCTGGACTGCCGATACTGCATCCAGTAATCGGTTGCTGTGGAAACGATCAGGAGGATGTTCCCCACGCCTGCACAGAACAACCCTCCACCCATAAAGCTGTACATCCTGCTCCTGCAGCTGCACAGACACACAAAAACGTAAGGTCACTTAGCATCAGCGGTCAGTGGCACAGGCCCCCTGCTCTCCAACTCACACACACACACACACACACACCTACACACACTTCAGGGAAAGAGGGTCTAAGTGTCAGTAATTGCCTTGTGATGAACATATCATTTCTACTGGATTGAGCTGTGGGGTCGCCCATGCGTGTACACTACTTTGTTCTCTAGGAGATCAGTCCACGAAGATGGGCTTTACATACACCCCTACCCCCGGTACACACACACACACACACACACACACATACACACATACAGCCTCTATCAAGTCCAGTGATGCTTTGATACTTGATACATCTATTGCTCATTGTTCCACCTGGATGCAATATCCTGCAGCCATCCTCTCTTTCTCATGGAGAGCTGCCACAGATTTTTTTTTTATTTTTTTGGTGGGGGGGGGAGGAGGATGATAGATAGATATATCTTGTTATATCTTCTTCTTATGTCTGAAACCTGAACGGGATGCTCATTGAAGAGCTCTGTGTATTTATTGAAGAGCTCTGTATTTCCGCTGGATCACATTTCCCCCTGAGCGTCCTCGCCGGCAAGTTCCAGCAGGTGTCTCAATCTGAAGCAAAACACTTTTAAAATCCATTTGGTCCCCAGCATACAGCAAATGAAAATGGTCTCATTGGCATTCGGAAAATTGGAATTGTTGTATTTAAGGTTCAGTCAACCAGGAACGAATTAATAATTTCTTAGGTATATATTTCCAGGATTCTTGTTTGGCAAGTGAAGGCTTTGGTTGTGGCTGGCACTGACCTCGCAGACTGTTTCCTCTTAATCACATCACTCAAACTTTCTAAACAGAAATTCTCCAGCTCTCATTTTAGACGTCTTCTATTCCCATTAAACACCCCAAAAAACTGACCCACCAAAATGAAGAGACATCCTGTGCATATTTTTCATACTAAAGCAGCTCTTTCCACATTGTTCTACGATATCTGTGCAGCAATCTGTCGAGAATTTATACTTATTTGACATTCTGGAAACCTCAAGGGGAGACTTTTTACAAAAGTTTTTTCATTCACCACCTTGCAGCCACATCAACACATAAGCTATTTATTTGTACCTAATTGACTGTGAAAACATTTGTCTCCCTGGAACTTATGAGACTGTGATATATTAAGTCATTTTAAAAGGCGATAAAGTAAATCAGAGGCCGGTGTGTATATTCTTGATACAGCAGTGGCTGATAACTGCAACAGTCCCCGTGGAGCTTTCAGAGATGGAGCTATGTTTCCACACAGGGGGGGGAAACACAGCAGAAAGAAATAAAAACACACAAACAACTCAACAAACAGTTATAGGAGGAGATTCAGTATTATCTTACCTTAAAAAACCTCTTTTATGAAGACACTTATGTAGACAGGGCAGCCTGACAAAATACAACAAGATCCTATAATGCCAAGACAGGCAGATTTTCAGCAGGCTAATAGCGCTAGCGTTTGACAGGGTGAATAGGGGGAAAGTGGGGCTACAACAAACTCCAGGCTGAGACAATAGGCCAGGCCAACTGCCGACCAATCAGCACACACCAGTTTTGTGGTTTGGGAATCTGCTGAAAAAACAGAAACGGCCAAAGCTTGGCAAGCTGAAGTAATACTGATGACTGCATGGTTTTAATTGAAAGTAGAAGGCTGAACTGGCTTTAGTATGGGCCAAGCCAGGCATTAAATCTAAACCTTTGGCAGCTCTGCCTCTGATTTTTGACTCATTATGAAAGCAAACATTGTCACACCGTTCAAAAGTCTAAATAAATAAATAAACATGTGGCATTGGATTTAGATGAAATTTTCAGTAAAAAGGAAACAATGCGTTCTGCAAAGCTTATCAGGTGCATGTTGTGTTTTTATCTAGTTGTTCGCTGCAAAAGTAAATTAACTGCCATCTGTACAAACCATAGAAACAGACGTACAGATGGAGAGAATCAGACATGTTGGGAAGGCATTTTTAAACTATATGTAGGCGTTGTCACTAATACTTTGTAAACGCAGTGTGCAGGTGAGCTGGACAGGATGCTTACAAGAGGAACAGTCAGATGATCTTGTGACAGTTTACCTTCTACCTGTCATGGCAGATATATCCCACAGTCCATTATGACTTATTTTAAAAACATCTTTGATTCTTCTGATATTCAGATGATGATGATGATGATGACTTTCTCGATGACTTAAACGGATACCAATGAAGCAGTTTCGATTCACTCTTACATTTTTTAATATTTATGTTTGTTCATGTGCTGCAGGGTGGAGCGGTGGTTAGCAACGTTGCCTCGCAGCAGGACACCCGGGATCTTTCTGCGTGGAGTCTCCATGTTCTCCCCGTGCAGCGTGGGTTCTCTCCGGGTTCTCCGGCTTCCTCCCACACAGTCCAAAAACATGTTGAGGTCAGTTGATGATTCTAAATTGTCCGTAGGTGTGAATGTGAGTGTGCTTGGTTGTCTGTCTCTAAGTGTAGCCCTGTGATAGACTGGTGACCTGTCCAGGGTGTCCCCTGCCTTCACCCTAAGCCAGCTGGGATAGACTCCAGCCCCCCATGACCCTAGTGAGGATTAAGGTGTATAGATGATGGATGGGTGGATGGATGAATAACATTGATCTTGTCTTGTCTTATCTTATGTGCACTTAAAAAGAAAGCACTCCAGACCCAAGCACGGTACGGACTGTTAGGATTGTCAACCCCCCACAATGTATACTGTTAGTAGCCCCGTTTAAAACACACTGTTAAAATGTTTCTTCATTGTCTGCATGTTCTCAATTACTTCTCAATTACTTTTTACTTTAACAGCCATGTATGAGTGAGAAAATGACTTAAACTGCTGTTAAATTATTTAAATTAACTGATGTAAAACTACATTTACTATGATTATCGTAGCTGCATATTACTGCAGTGATGAAGTGAAACCAATACCGTAGCCACTTTAAAGGGCTAATCATAAAAACAATTGCTAGATTAATCAACAAATTAAAAAAATAAAATAAAAATCATACGACACAGTGATAGATTTCCTTAGACCTTCTCAGAGCCTCGTAGACACAGGGTTGAGTTAACCCCCTCTCCAGCGGTAGTTATTTCTAAGCTGCATCCTCTGAGGCTGAAAATTCAGGCCAACATCAAAAAGGCCAACAACAATTCCTTAACTGTCCTCTTGAGGTTGGCTCTAATAGTGACCCAGTCCCCATGAACCTACAGGTTAAAGTGACCAACTGTATAGCAGAAATAAATGTGTTTACAGCCTAATCATGAAAATGTTTTTAGTCTCTATCGCTCATTTTTCTGTTTGGGAGGGAATCTTTGTAAACCTCACCAATTTAAGTTGTATTTACGCCCAGAAATACTCATAATTAAAAGTGACGTTTAGTGACAGGTGGACGCCGTCATAGGAAAGTTTATGGTCCAGAGACATTTGCATGGCAGCTCCACCCACACTCCACCTCTTTGCTCATTTTTTGATTAGCCAGGAGTTGGGAGGAGTCCGGCTCTGCCAAAGGCTGGAGCCCCCAAAATGACTCTGAAACCAGGAAACCGATGGGTGACGATACAGGGGCTGCATCCATCTTTATTTACAGTAATGAGGTGTCAGCTAATTTAAGTTTTAACATCGGTGAAGAGGCACTGCAGTAGTACGTATAATAAAGCCGTGCTCTGCTGATGGGACATGAGTATTGTTTCAATGCCTCTTGAAGTTGATCATATCACCGACGACAACCTGAATTCAGCTTTGTCACCTGTTTTCAATCCCGTCAAATCCAACAGGTCGGTCAGCTGGAAAGAAATGCCACAAAACAATGCTTTCAGTGAGGATGACTGATGACTGAAGATCCCCTCAGCGCTGCAAACAGCCGATAGACAGCCCAAGACTAGGTGCTGAAACAGTGGAGTAGCTAAGAGCCACATGTTTTCCTAGGAGATGGGAAGAGCTGGAAGAGGGAATGTAGGACTTGAATTCTTTTTCTCTCAATTGTTTTTCTAGAACTTATTAACTTTGTACTATCTTAGTGTTGTGTAGGTAAAATCTATTCAGGCAGTTTGAAGAAGAGTTGTGTATTTGTAAATGATCCACCATCCGTTTACTGTCGCTTCAGTGATGGAGGGGTGTCTATGGTAGTTTTCTGCTTCGGTGGAGGAAACACTCTACAAGTTACACACATGTAAACATGCTGAGTTGGCAGAATGCACATCATTGTCAGGTGTTCAAAATGAAATTAATAGTTTTCGGACGTTGACTAAAAAAATTCATTGTCATTCATTTGTGTATTCTGCTGAACCACTTGATGGCAAATCCAGTATCGGCTCCTCTGAAGGTAATTGTAGCCGGCAGATGTTTGAAGAAGCAGCTCACACCAGTACAGATCCCTTTGCTGTGCTTTGGCATAAAGTTTCCACCATTCTGACCATCATCTGGCTGTATTTGCTCCCACTGTGCCTCTTTCCCTTACCCAGCTGACGACCCACCACTGCCCCCCCCAGCGCTGCCTACCCCCAGCCCCACTCCTGTGCTTTGACACACACACATGCACAAACCACGAAGATGAAAGGAGAGGAGTAGCTCCATTACCTGCATTACAGCAAGTTGCTCAGACCAATTGACAACAACAAAATGCCCCAGAAAAAGCATTTTTTCTCCCCGAGATTTGAGTGCTGTACTTACATCTAACTTCATTTTTATAGACCACAGCCTATTTTCTTCCATCTGGAGTGTGGCAGCCAGGAGGGTATTTGATATCCTCCATGCACCATCAAAGTGGACAATATGCCTCTGTGACAGAAGAGCAAATCCATGTTTTCTTGAATCCATCCAGCTTTTGAGAGATTAATTTTGTTATGGAAAGTCTACATTTATGTGGTATCACGGGCGAGTAAGGAGGGAAGGTAATGTGACGGGAGTAATTACAAAGAGTGTGTGACTGGCGTTCCTGCATTGTTGTGGTGAAGTCACT